AACAACATGTTTGTATTTTGAGGAATAATTCCAAATGAGGTTGAAGGGAATTGCAATGAGAATGGCACAATTATTAGTGAACATTTTTTATTTAACCTTCCCGACAGAACATTTCGAGTACTTTCCACCACAAATTTTAAAGCATGAAACAACTCGCTTTTTTTAGGCCAAAATTCATGAGTATGAACTATGAAGCATCTGCCCACCCCAATTGATTAATGAGAAAGGTTAAGAAGACTCTCTTAAAGTGGAAAAAAAAAATTTCAATGTATCTGAAAATACAGGATGGTACAAAATGTGTCACTATACAAGTGGTGAAATACATGTGTTAAAAATTATCAACTTAAAATAAAAATAAAAAATAAAACTTTCCACCATTTATACTCGTGTCCTGGGCACAATGAAAAAACTTTGTATGAACTCTGTCACCTCATAGTTTAATGTCAATTCTCGTACCAACATTATAAATCATTATACCAAAAACATAAGATGACGGTCATGAAGAGACTCACTTTTGGGAAAGTCTCCTCAGCATTTTTCTTGATTATTACTCTTTTGGCTACAACATTATGCTAATTAATAGTTTTATCATATAGTTCACGCTAATTAAATTGCCAACATCTACAAATAACTAACATGTTATTTTTAATTTGTACATCGCGATATGATGTCAACAACTTACAGCTATGGATAGATCGATGGCTTGCTATTCCTCACATCTCTACAGCCAATGATGTTTGTATTCATGATTTCTATATGCTATCATTGTGGTTATAGGATGTCTTTTATCTTTGTTAACGAAAAAAACACTTTGTTGGTCTCCGGATGCGGATCAACAACTTATATAGAACTAATCTATCGTCACATAGCGTTTTAATTCAAGAATACAATATCATGTGAAGAGAAACTTACATGTGACATTGTATTATTCAATCAGGACATCATGGTGATGATGAAGCCATTCTACGTAAGTCATTCTCCGATATTATGGTATAGCTTATTGAGTCATTGAGTGCAATAGAAAATAACAAGTCTTTCTCATTTCTCTCGTCTTCCTCTTTACTTGCATGCCACACAATCAACGTAGTAGAGTGACTTAGTTATTTACGAGCATTCGCTGTTACACTCAAAGTATGTGTTCAATTCTCCCTAGCTAATGTTACTTGTAGAGAAAAGAAAACGAAAATTTAGAGAGTGAAAGTTCCATTCTTCCAGAGTTATGCGTATGGATGGTGCACATCCTAGCGACTTACAATTCAAGGTGGCATCTAAGCTTAGATTCAACCTTGTACAAACACTACCTTTCATGTACAAAATGGCATATACTCTCTCATCAATTGACTAAAACTATCACAATTAGTCAGTTTAACAGCCAACTAACATCCAATTACGACTTATTTCTATTTAACTCGGACAATCAAACTTTATAGGTTTGACTAAAAAAGGAAGTTTCTTTGAGGTTAGTCTACTTGTTTATTCCATTCAAAGGTCACACCTATAAGCATGGCAACCCAAACTCATCTTTTCCATTATTTTCCGCTTGACAAAAGATGAGTGGATGACCCAACATCAACATTTGTTAGGCTAAAAGTTTGACATTTATGAAAATTAAATTTAAGTCCAAAGAAAACGGGGAAATGCATTAATAAACATGTTCATCAACTTATAGATTAGGTGTAACGCCCCAAATCCGGGGCTAATGGAAAAAATAAATCCGGACTCGGTGTGCGAATAAAATAAAAATAAAAGTACTCAAACAATGGTGAAAATAAAATCCTTCTTGTACATATAATCCAAAGACATTACAAAAAAATGAAACCCTTAATTCCTCGTCTAACACAAAATCAGCTCGTCTAGTCTCTGTCTTGCCAAATAACTCATTTGTAGAATAAAAGGGTGAGGGGTGAGCAACAACCACAGTAGATGTAGTACTTGTACAAAATCATATATCACATAATTTCATATCGCATTATCCATTTACGACTTCATTATATCTTTCAACAAATATAATTCATCACGTGACCAATAGTGACCTTTCTTCCCTAATGTACCCTTGTGCAGTTTGCATTTATGCCTCAGAATAATGCAATACTAAAGTTATCACGTTCCATGAACAATCCCAAACAATCGACTATCAAATATAATAACTCTAAATGAAACTTTCCAAAATAAACATGCTTGACATAAAAATAAATAGAGATTTGTAAATAGAGAAAACCTACGATAATTCATGATTTCATTTATCAAAAAATAAGAAGTTTTGAACATAATAAATAAACCACACACCTCAATCGATAGCTAGAACCTCGGCAAGACAAGCCCAATAACAATCTCCACACATCAAACCATTTAACCCTAAACTCTCTTTCTTTCTTTCTTTCTTTCTTTTTCTCTCACTCTTTTTTTTTTTGCCTCACATCAAACCCTCTAACCTCGGCAAGATAGCTATAAAAATTTCTATAGATAGCTAAAAACTTGACCATGCCACCCCCGGCAACATAGCTAAAAAAATTTCTATAGATAGCTAAAAACTTGACCATGCCACGTTAGGATTATAGCTAATAGCTTATTAGACACTTCTAGCAAACCCTATCAGAAGATAGGAATAAGGTAAACTTCCCGCATCCAACTAGGTATATATGTTGTCATAAGTTGCCAATGGATGCATGAAAATGGTATCACAAAATGACAAAATTGTAGACATCGAAATTTCGGTGAAATAAATGTTCACAAACACATTAAAGTTTCGACATGTCAAGGAATGCATGATATGCACCATGTGTCTCACAAATCGTACACATGGATGCAAGGTTCTAAAAAATGTTAGGCGCTAGTCAGACGGTGGGCTAGGTCCTAACGCCTAGACAACTAGGGGGCCTAGGCGGCTATGACCTAGGCGGATTTAAGTAGATCTATTATATTTCGTGTAAATAAGTGTCTGCTTATACTTAAAATATATAAATTTCATCATAAACTACAAAATAAAATGACATATATTATGAAGTATTGGAACATAATGAAAACATGGGGAATAAGGATATAATGTGTGTTCATTTAAGTATGCAACAAGTCTCTTACAATTTATTGAAAAAATAAAATGCAAAATGAAAATTATCTATTTTCTGTCTAAGTGAGTTGCGACCTAGACGAGTGTCTAGGCTGGTCTGGGCATGCTAGGCGGGTACCTCAGCAGATCTAGGCGCTATTTCTTAATTTTCAAACGTCTAGACATTAAACGGGGTGTGCCTAAGCGGGGATTTTTAGAACAGTGCATGGATGTGACTCATCAAAGTCAGACGAGTCATCAAGAATGACACGTGTCAACACTTGACGGGAAATGAATTATTTGATTTTAATTTAATTAAATCAAATATTAATTGATGGAGTCAAATAACGAACCAGGCCTCAAATCAAGTCCTAGTTCTTTGTCAATTAATCAAGTCCTGGTTCTTCGTCAATTAATCAAGTCCATAATGAAGACCAAATCTATTCATAGGCAAAACTTGGAGAGTACGTAAATAGGAGGCTCCAAGACAAAGAAAGGGGCCAGAAAAATCATTCACACCCAGACGCTGAAGTTTTGAAATTTTGAAGCTCTCAAGCACTCAAACTCCCAAACACTCAAACACTCAAGAAGGTTAGGAAAATCTTCGTGTTCTTTATTAAACCCATGAAGAATCATCAAGCACTACTACCCGTGTCGGTTCTTCCATCGCTACAAGCCAAATCCTTGCCACAATCATTCATCTGAGATCAAGCCATCGCGATCCGAGGATCAACAACACACATCTACACATCTTCGGAGATCAAATCAAAGGAAACTTTATAAACAGAGGTTATCCTAACTTATTAATACAAAACAATTATTTTGTACATGTGTTCTTATTTCATTTGTCATAGGATTTTCGTGTTTACGAAAACATTTGTGACGACACCTAAAGCTAATAGTAAAGGTGTTGAACATGTAAATTTATCCAAAAAGTCTATTTGCTAAACCACTTCAAGGTATTAATGTTGAATTCAGATCCTTTCCAAATCTCGCAGTTCGAAGGCAATTGACCGAGAAATCTAAACGGTTCAAGAGAGGGAGAGAGATAATCGGAACCTTAGTTTGTGTGAGGTGGGCCAGTACAATGGGCTAAGATTTAAAATGAGTGGTCCGAATTTCTTGATCCGTTGGCTTCAGACAACAAGATCGAAGATTCATTAATGTCCAATAAAACATCATTCTAATTGTTGAAGAAAGTGATGCGCGAGCTTCTAGAATTTCGTCCTTACAACATGTAGTGTAATAGGGCCATAGTTTCTTCGACCATACTTCTTACTGAATTGTGGCTGAACCATCTCAGAGCAAGTCCATGCCACTAAGGCAATAATTGCTCAAGTAGTTATGGTCTTAATGAATAGTAATTGTTTGAGTGCATCTCCACTCCGTAAAATGTTGCTTAGGCAATTAATATTAAAAAATTAATATTATTTTATTAATAAAAATATCTTCTTTTTTTTTCTAAACATTTTCCTCTCTCTCTCTCAACTGCCTACTAGGGAGAAGGAAATTTAAATTAAAAACCTACCGTCGCCAACCTCAGTCTTTGGCCTTGGGGTCAGCAGCATTCCTTCTTGATCCCTTCTCTTTCTTTTCCTATTTCTAGTAGGGTTGCTCTTTCACTTTATCGAGGACAACCTTTGTGGTTGTAGTTGTGGTCACTCGCTCTATCAGTTTTTTTTTTTTTACTTTTTATTTTATTTTTTATTGTCTTAAACTTTTGTTATTTTTATTAAAATTTAAGCCATTTTCATTAAAGTTTAGACCATTTTCATTAAATAAAGTTATATGATAATTTTTTTTTTAAATAAATGTAGCCCAATCACTTTTTATTAAAGCTCCCAAATTTTTTAACTCGGATGTCCGAAGATTAATTCTGAGTGTACAAAGAATTACTCCATTTGCAACTTCACTCTAAATTCACCAATTCCAGGCCCAACCCAAATTATTACCGGGCTTAATATTTTAAGCCCGCCTTTGAGGGGTTTCCTTAACGCATCTTCTCCTCCAGCCCCAATATTCTGGAGTACTCTAGACGCACAGCTGCTGGTAGTAAGTGCAGGGTTTCGCCATTTCTACCAGGTAAACATTTCACCTCCTCTCTCTCTCTCTCCCTCGCTCTCTTACATTATTCCGTGAGTCCTTCTTCCGTTTTGATTCTTCTATCTTTCTTATCGATTTATTAAATCGCTAATTTTCAGTTTAAATTGTCAATACTTGTTGTTTTTCATCGCGTGAGACTACGCTCGATCGGTTCTCAAAATTGCATTTCTGGCTCAGATTTTATATATTTTTGTTGGAAATTGATATAGATCCGTGGTTGTTTATTGTTTGATTAGGCCTAGTGTTACGAACTAAATCTGATTAGATTATCTTCTGTTTTTAAGAATTTGACTAATTAATTCGGAAATCTGTTTGTTGAATTTTTTGTTTTTAATTTTTTTTCATAATTCGAACGAGTTTTGTTTGGTGGTTAAGGTGGTAAGAGGCAAGAGCTTGTTCTTACAATCGTGAGCATGAATGGAGGGATGCGGACTTGCGCAAAGTTGTTGAGGGCTTCCGAAGCAGCGCTATCGAAATCAGGTTATTTTGATGCCATTTGATTCTTATTTTGTTTGATGCCACTGCATATCATGTAATAGACAGGTGTGTGCGCAATGTGATAGACCGATAATATGTATTGCTGAATTACACCGAATCCTGGATGCAATTTTTTGAGTGGCTAATAAGCGTAAAATTGAACGGTTTCAGCCCGGTGGTTTCAAACTTGATGAAAATTAGGAAATGCCTCTGGATTGCTATGTTATTTACTTTCTTTCTCCTGTCAAGTGTAAGGGCTTATGACAAATGTTTCAATAGCCTACTAGGTGTAAATCACGGCTGTAACCTATTTGATCCTTGCCTCCACTTCTCACCTCATGCTACTTCTAGTTGTAGAGCTTTCACCTCCTTCATGCTTCTCCTTTTGCATGTTTCCCTCATTGCCTTCTAGAGAACCGGGTGAGCTTCCTCTGATGGCGCTTGTGTTCCCATGCGGGCATAGAGAAACCTCAAAAGTAATTCCTCTATTTTCTCACTTGTAAGAAGGTAATCCCATTTTCTCTTCTTACTTGAAAGAGAGGTCTTATACATATCTTTATAACACCTTGGTTAGGAGGTTTTGTAAATTACTATTGGCCGTTCCAAATGGGTTCTTGCTTTGAGAAACTCAATTTCACCCGGCCAATAGTGATTATGGGGTAGCCTCAAGGTTTTACATGTTATCTCATGTTTAAATTCAGGGAACTACCCCAAATATTTATGTTTGCCACCAAGGACTACAGTACCAACCACTTCCATTTTACTGGAGTATAGTTTCTTAGGTACCTTCGCCCATGAGCGGTAGGTCTTGGGTTCGAGACTTGGGAGCAGCCTCTCCATAAATGGGGGTAAGGCTAGCCGACATTCACCTCTCCCAGACCCTGCGTAAAGTGGGAGCCTTGTGCACTGGGTACGACATTTTTATAGTTTCTTAGGTACCGGCTCACTTTTTGGCATGACATGGGAACCAGAGCTTTTTACAGTTTTTACTTTTAAATGGGAGGGGCATTAGGAGAAACTTCATAAGAGGGATCCTGTTCCACTGTTCATGGAGCGGGATACTCAATATGTTATCCATATTATTGGTATCATTGATATCATGTTGATATGGGATGTCAGTATGGATGTCAATATGGTGTTCATATGGGCCCAATATGGTGTCGATCCTCTTAAGAAGAGGCTCCTAGTTCTATATTTATGCCTGCACCGATAGACCTATTGGTAAAGACAATGGTGCCACCTTGTGTTGGGTGGTTAGAAGTGTAAAGGCATATGAATCTCTGCATGCTTTACATTCTAAAATGCTAGCTTATAAACAAAACTTAAAATAACCACCCCATTGGGACCACCATTGTCATTGCTGTTTTCTGGTGTTTTCGTGCATAGCCTTTGGAAATAAGTATCGAGTAATTTTACACAGTGACACTGTAGCATATCTCATCTGGCAATCCATCCATAGTGGAGAAAGATGGGATGTCTTCTAAGTTTATAACTTAGGCTGAGGTGTTGATTCGTTTGAGTTTGAGTGCTGGATCTTTTTTATTGTATGTACTAAGTAGAAATAGTGGCTATTGTGCTTTTTTCCAGGGACTAGAGGGTTCCACTCAACTGGAGTGAAAAGAATGGGTGGACACGGCCACGATGAACCAGCCTACATGCATGCCAAACACATGTATAACCTGGACCAGATGAAAAACCAGAAGTTGCAGGTGAGCCTTGGAGTGCTCGCCGCCTTCAGCATTGGCGTGGGTGTTCCGATTTGGGCTGTCAATTTCCAACAAAAGAAAACATCATCTGGTTGAGATGGACGTACGCAGCAATAAGAGACGCAGAACAGAGCGGTCCGTACGTTCTCTTGGATCCATTTGTCATTTACTTCTCTTGTTAAAAAGTACGTGGTGCATTTGTTTGTTAAATTTTATGTTAACACATGATCATGCACATAAGAATCAGATTTGAGCGTTAAAAAGTTTCCATTTTCCCTTATAGTTCAGCTGTCTCACCTCTTTTTTGAGCAATGAGCAGTTAGGTAGACAATAAATTGAAATCCTGAATTTTGAATACCAAATTATATGACCCGCCATTTGTGTATTTTTCATTTCCTTTCTAATAATCTTTTTACGTGCGTTTTATCTATGTTTTGTAAAAAAAAAAAAAAAAATGAAAGTAATTGTTACGAAAATTCAAAAATACTCATTATGCACTACGCAGTTGAGGACCACACATTGACCATTTTTGGGTGTTAATTTTAACTCGCTGCGTTTTTGAGTTCAAACCGATACGAAGTTGAGATTCTTTTGAATGCAACGATACGAAGACATTTCAGTTTTGGGGCAAAGGCAATCCGAAGAAGGAGTTATCAACTCTCCTCTCTCTCTTTCATGGTCTTCTTACTTTTTGAAAGTTGGAGCATGCAATCATGCATTAGATAGAAGTTCTTGTTTTTGTAACAAAAGTTTGAATGGACCGAACTTATTAATCAACCGTGTTCCATTCGATTGGGTGTTTCTTCCAAGTGTTGGACAAGTTCTGTATGCTCACATTGACTCTAACAATGGTTTTTGTTTGCTTGAGATATCTTAGTTCTTTGGCGCCTGTCCTTGCAGTTGTTTTGTTGTTTGCAGGAGGGCTCATAGGAGCGAAAACAGGTTGCTGTTTACATTAGGTAGGTAGGTAGGTAGTGCATGATGACTATTTTGAGGTCACACTCACAAACAGCTATTTCCAGCTATTACTTGTATATTTCCCTCTATTTTCTTTTGGCAATTATCCTCAAAAATGATTTCATGGAGTTGAAATATAGCCGGGGTAAGTTTCTATTGATAATTATTTCCTTTAATTGAACTCAAGGCTTGAGGTGCAAGGGTGAACAAGCTACAAGCTCTTTTGATATAGAAGAAAAAGAAAAATACGAGAAAATTAAAACAAATAAAACTATTCAAACCACTGTCTTCGATTTAAATCATCGCCCTTCCCATTATAAAATACCGTTTGTAATATAAATTATGGCTATCAATTACCGTCGAAACATATATATATATTGTATTTCAAATTTTGCTGTCACGACTCACCATAATAATTTTATTAGAAGCAATAAGTAAAAATCAAATCAAATCAAATAAATAAAATTACTTAAGTTGATATTTCCGTTTCCATTTGCTTATTTTCGTGAAAATTGTGGTTACGCAATCGTTGTTTTTTGAGTTGATTGTTCTTATATTTTGAAGAAAATTAATGAAAAATGTTTGAAAATTTTGAGTTTTAACAATAACGACAAAATAAAGAGTAAAGTGAATACTATCAGAATTAACTTTTTAGTGTAAAAATATGGTTTTTCGTTAAAGTGAACAATATATAGAGTTTTTCGTTAAAGGTCCCAAATTTTGACCCGCAGCCATTGGTGGTCAGATCAGGTGCAAATCTTTGTGGAATCCGGATCCTCTTTGTAAGGATTCTGAGATTCGTCAAAAAAATTTTAAAATTTTTTAATTTAAAATTAAAAACAAATACTACGATATACGATAAACGAACGCAATTCACAATATTCAAGAGTCCTGTACGATCTTTGCGATTAGTTATACTTGGCACCACAGGGTTGGTACCGAGAAATTGGTAGTTAATAAAAAATTAATTTACAAAAATAATAAATTAAAGGCGGTGAGTTTGCCCTACGAGTACCTTCTCGCACCCCGCACGCCGCATATAAGTTCCCTCTTCTTTCTCCATTTCCCTCACGCATCAGACGCGAAGGCATCGCTCCATACCCTCTCTTTCTCTCTCTAGGTTTCTTTCATCTCTTTCTCTCTTCGCTTTCCATCCAAGGTATAATCTCTCCCGATAATCTCTGTGCTCTTTGATTTTCGATTTTCGATTTCGTGAACTAGTGTATCTGTGATTATTGTTTTTGATTGCGTGAGAGTTTGCGTTGTTCGATCCGAGCTGAAGTTTTTACGTTTCTGGATCGATTTGTGTTTGTATTTGAAATCGGTACAGTTCTCTGGATTCTAGGGTTTATTTTTTGTATTAATTTGTTTAATCTGGATAGGATTTATGATTGATTTATTCCGTGTTGCTTGGATTTGGACTTTTCTTTCACTTTTTGATATGTTTAATTGTTATTGACCTATACCTGAAATTTCAAGCTCACAGGAATTGTTACGATATATGTATATTTGTATGTATATGTTTGGTATATTATGTAAGCAACTTATTATGTTAGGTTGTTACAATATGTTCGATTCTCTTGATAGGGTGGTCGTATTGCGTGTTTATACATGCTGCCAAAGCTGTGTCAATCGATACATAATTCCTTGCCATTTATGGTTTTTGAAGTGCTTAGTTACAAAAGGTTAATATGTTTAAATACGTGTTTATATTGTAGACTTTGTCCAGAATTGTTTGGGATCACTACTTTGCTTGATTATTTGGAATTAGAAATCTGCTTGGGCTTTTTGGATTGCGATTTTGTTGTAGCAGCATAGGCTGAACATAAACGTGTAGTTTTACTTTCAAATCTGGTTATCTCATAACAATATAATCACCACGCTTACTTTTTGGGGCTGGAAAGCTAATAATTGCTGGGACATAGTTATAGGGATGCAGTACTTGCCAGGCTCATAGTTATAGGGACTGTTCTGGAATTGTTCCAAGGAACTTGGCTGGGTGAATGATTCTTTTGTGAGGTCTGCTATTTTTCTTTTTCGTGCTGCTGGTAGAAGAAAAGGATGAGTTGGAGTATGAATAATTTTGTTTTGATCTGTTTTCTTGATTTCATATTTTTATCTTACTCTAAACTAGTTCTAAACAGCTATATTATTTGCTTGTAGGAAATTGGCAGTTCAGTCTGCTGTATCTGCAATTCGCCAAAGTGGAGTGTGTGACGTCTAGAACTTATTTATGTCTGAACGGGCCACTCTCTGTTTGTCGTCAATTGGATTACTCGGTGAATATAGCCCTACATCTAGAAAAAAGTGCAGAGCTGCTTCCGTTGAAGTTGAATGCAAACAGCTTGGTTTATCAGAGGGGAATCACGCACATTTTCTTGGTTGCCAATTTATGCAACCGTGTGGTAAAGGAGTATTTCGGGTTTCAAGAGGCAACACCCTTCTGATATAATCTATCATCTCTCACACCATGGCTCTACAAAACATCGGTGCTTCAAACCGTGATGATGCCTTCTACAGGTATAAGATGCCAAGGATGATCACTAAGATTGAAGGCAGAGGAAATGGCATCAAGACTAATGTGGTTAACATGGTTGATATTGCAAAGGCCTTGGCTAGACCTGCTTCCTACACTACAAAGTATTTTGGCTGTGAGCTTGGAGCCCAATCAAAATTTGATGAGAAGACTGGAACTTCCCACGTGAATGGTGCTCATGACACTGCTAAGCTTGCTGGACTTCTTGAGAACTTCATCAAGAAATATGTGCAGTGCTATGGTTGCGGGAACCCAGAAACCGAAATTATTATAACCAAGACGCAGATGCTAAATCTGAAATGTGCTGCATGTGGGTTTGTGTCTGATGTTGATATGAGGGACAAGCTCACAACTTTTATCCTTAAGAATCCTCCAGAACAGAAGAAGGCGGTTAAAGGAAAGAAAGGCTTGAGGAGGGCCGACAAAGAACAACTTAAGGAAGGGGAGGCCGCTGACGAGGAGCAAAAGAAGCTTAAGAAGGAGGCAGCAAAGAAGAAAGGAACTTCGGGTTCGAGAGCATCAAGCAAGAAGAAAAGCAATGGTTCTGATGAGGATCGCTCCCCTGCTCACAGCCAGGGAGATGAGAACGACCAAGCTGCTGAGGAGGATGGGGATGATGATGTCCAGTGGCAGACGGACACTTCTGTCGAGGCTGCTAAGAAGCGAATCCAGGAGCAGTTGAGTGCTGTTACTGCTGATATGGTGATGCTTTCTACCATTGAAGAGAAAAAGTCACCAAAGCAGTCTCCTGATCGTGAAGTGAAGAAGCCTGAGACAAAGAGCCATCAGAACGGTGCTGATTGTTATACCCACGAAAGACTTGTTAATGAGATCAAACAATCCTTGCAAAAGGGGACGTCTGCAGCTCAGCTTAAATCCTTTTTGGGCACTCTTTCTGGCACACCCCAAGAAGTTATGGATGCCCTACTCGAGGCTCTCTTTGAAGGTGTGGGAAAGGGGTTCTCTAAGGAGGTTTCTAAGAAGAAAAACTACCTGGCTGCAGCAACCCGGATGGAGGGATCTCAGACAGTTCTATTGCAAGCTATCGAGTCTTTCAGTGGGAAGTCTAACCCTGATGCTGCAAAGGAAGTGGCTCTTGTTCTAAAACTGTTGTACGATGTTGACATTCTGGAGGAGGAATACATTATGAAGTGGTACCAACGGGGCATAGCTGGGAAGAACAAGAGCTCCCCGATTTGGAAGAATGCCAAGCCGTTCATCGGGTGGCTCCAGAGCGCCGAGTCTGAAACGGAGGAAGAGTGATGGGTATTTCTCTGTCGTTGATTTGCTTGTCGTCCTGTTTTTTCCTTGTTTGCTTATGCTTTGAGTGTGTTGAAATAATGGCCTGTTGGGGCCTTTCCTGTTGTTAGTGTTCACCCTCTGGGCTCCGCTGTTGTTGTCTTTGATTTTATCGGTTTCGAGTGCAATGTCATTTGGTGGTCGTGTCTGTTTTACCAACTATTATTGTGTTCAGTGACATTGGTTTTCTTATGCATTTGCCTTAATTATGTCTTGTCTTGTTGCCCTTTTTGGTTATGAATTCATTGTCTTAAATCGGTTTCGAACCACGTACACTGCTGCTGTCAATGATGCGACGTTATGTGAAGAGATCGTGTTTAGAGAAATGTTGTATTGACGTTACAAAGCACACATGGTAATTCGTGCTTTCATCTATGGCTTTGTTTCGTGTTTATGATTGGATGAGTATTCTTTTCTGATTCTCTTTGTGAGGATCTAGAGAATCAATCAATTATGTTTGTTCATTCAGTTTTTGTTCGGTGTTATTTGTTTAATTTTAAATTTTAAATTTTAAATAAATTTTGACCGCACAATATGCGATGAACAAATACTATTTATGTTCAGTCAATCGTGTTTGTTCTTATATTGTGTGCGGTTAGTTTTTGTTCGATTCTATTTATGCTTAATTTTAAATAAAAAATTTAAAATAATTCTTGATCGCACGATGTAACGATGTACAATGAACAGATACAACTATATCATCTGACTAGTAACCTAATCCTTTAGGATTAGTTTGGATTTGATAGCGATTTAGATTCAATGGATTCGAATGGAAAAGTGGATGTCACTTCTAATTTATGTCGGTGTTTTTTTTGGTCAAATTTGTGTCGTTAGTTGAAAAGAAGAATGATTGGCCATGTCTCTATGCAATTAATCTTCTACTTTGAAATAGAACATAAATTGGAGTATGCCATTCAATTTTTCATTTAGAAATATATTGAATTTAAAACATGATCCTGTTTAGCACAACTAATTATGTTTTTTTTTTTTTGGGTGAACTCTAGTTATGTTTATTGGAGTGCTTAAGTGACAATTTCAAAACTGAAGAAATTAAGTAGGAATGACAACGATTCAGCTTGGGACAAAAATGATACATCTATCCTTGTAACCACAAAAATTAACTATATTCATAACTACAAATTAACCGTCCAGGATTATCCATAACCATACCTACCGAGTAACGAATTCCCTATTTGTTAACGGTTATATTCATGTTCGTCAATACAAAAAAATATATTCGTTCAGTTGACGCAGTATAATTTAATAGATATTAATTTCGTCTTGAACATTTGATGTATAAAATAATTCAATGAAAGAACCTTGTAGAGCATTAAAACCAAGCATTGAATTTAAAACATTGATGATGTTGACTGATCTTTGATATCTCTCATAAGCCCTATTAAATCCTCAATGATTCTTGAACTTTCCTAGAAAATGCAACTCAACAGGTACAACTTTTGTATTCTCAAGGCAATGCATTTGGTGAATAATGAATTCACACACACACATATAGGTGAATAGTGAATTCACACACACACACATATATATATATATATGTATTTATATAATACTATTATATTATATATTATTTGGGTCGGATTCAGATACAGGTAAGAATCGGGGACCTCTATAATCATTTTCAAAACCATAATCGAGTAATATTCATGGTTTTTTTTCCATATCCAAAATATACTCGAACATCCATATCCAAACCGTTCCATTCGGGCGGTTATCCACTATTACGGGTTTAACAATTAGAATTATCATCCATAAAATTGAGGTCTACCATAAGACTAATTGAAATATAAAGAGTATTTCAATCTACTTATAAGCATATGTAAAATCTCTTCTACCATTAATGCAAGTTTCATTTTTAACAAAAACTTTAAAACGGGATAAAAGAGCAATCATTGATCCAATGTCACCCTTCTGTTACAATCCAACTTTATAAGAGCAAGTACTCTCCACGAGCTCTTGACATTCGTCACAAGTTCTTATTGTCAAAATCATCTTTACACAAATTTTAATATTATCAAACTCTCGAGTCCTTGTTAACAACAAGACAAAGGTTAATCCATTATCTTCTTCAATTCAGTGGCTCCATAAAGTTACGTAAAAAGTTTAGATTTTTTTTTCCTTAACAAATAATATTATCTATACTAAAGAAGAGATGGTAACCTTAACCTCATAATGGACTAGCAATAATGTGGTTCAAATTCGCCTTTGGTTATAGCCGAACTTAAATCTCTCACTTATAAATAAACATAAATATCATTAGACTGAAGTACTAGATGACTAGTAAAAAGTTAAGTTAACACCAAATATTCAAAACAAAGTTTAATAAATGTGCTTTCTTCCTTTTTTTTTTCTTTTCTGGAATGTTTTATTTTTCTTGTGTTGGGGAAATTTTGTCCAAAAGTACAAGATTACAACAATTACACGAGTTATGTCTATGTCATTGACTGTAGATGACAAAACAAATACAACAAATTGGCACTTCATGTCACGATAATACGTCACACGCGACTCCTAACTCACAAAATTAATAAATAATCACACCAAGCTTAGTAATTAATAAATTAGCCAAGACAAAATTCGGGTTTCGTGTCGCTATTTTAATATGCTTTTTTTTTTCTTTAGTACCAAGAAATAAAAAATTGTGTCCACATTATAGGCAAGGTCTTCGTTTCATATGGCATTTTGTCTTTTTATTTTTATATAGTTTTTTTTTTGTCCAAGATTTTAAGTTTAATTCATATTAATAACGAATTTGATTTTTAATTATTATAGTTAATTTATTGTATGGCTTAGCTTAAATTGTCCTCATCTCACTAGGGGTGGGAGATTTTGCCATAAAACGATTTACCTACCGAACCATACCGGTCGGCTCATAATGGTATGTATAGTTTTGACATTTTTTTTTATAATTGGTTGGCATTTTACCAAACTGACAATTAATGGCATGACTTTGGTAATTGATTTTGTATGCCGGCGGTATGCCATACCTATATATATATATATATATATTTTTTTTTTTTTTCTATTTACATATTTTAGGTATTTTTTACATGCTTGACTCCTTAATTTTAGGGTTTAAAAAATATATGTATATGTATATGATTCATGACATAATAAATGTAGAAAATATTGTTAACAAAATTGATAGCATGATGGTTACTGATACTATATATACACGTACATATATATTATTTTGAATGTATATGCGTTGCTTATGTTGAGGATGATGGAGTCTAGCCAATCAACCGCTAGTGCACAACATGGATTAGCCCAAAATGAACCACACAATGCAACCGAACAAGCACCCCAATTTGGAAATCAAATTGAGCCCTTGGAACTGGAAGATAGCGAGGAAAAAGTGGAAACCACCGATTGTGCCGTTTACCAACCGAACCAGCCAATAATTTTGGCTGTACCAATTTTTGGCAACAGTAAGAAGACGGTTGGCTAGCGGTAACTGATTTTCGGTAATTATGTATATATGGCTAGTAGGTGACACAAGGAATTTGACACGGTTTGCCAACCGAACCCAGCCCTACATCTCACATTAGAATATTGCTGTATATACAAAAATGTTGGGAAATTAGTTTTAATATTATTGTTATTTTTACTATTTTTCTTGTGGGATAAGGATTTGAATTCCTTGTTTGTTAAGTTTTTTTGTCTTGCTTGTTAAGTTAGGATTTGCTTTCATTTTCTCCTACAAATAGGATGGTTTATACCGTAGTTGAAAAAGTAAGTTAAAATGTATTCTCTTGGGTTTTGTAGCCTACTTGACAATTTATAGTGTTTCTTAATTTTCAATTAATAAAATATTATTTGTAGTTTTATATTCCGCTTGTTCTTCGCCTACTCTTTCAACCAAATGTGACCTCTAACTCTTCATAAAAAAAATTGATAAAAACTTTGATATCTTTTTTTTAGGGAATAAAACTTAAATAACAAAGCCTCACACTAACAGTCTAACAGTCACAACATTAAAATTTTAATATTAAATAACACCTTCTTCATGAAAATGATATTTAAAAATATAATAAAAACAAAAATAAAGCATGATGATTATTTTGAAAATAAAGCATAATAATTATTTTGAATAAACTTGAAATTTGAATAAAATGTAAGTAAATAAAACACAATCTCTATCCTCACTTAATTTCAAACATTTTTAATTTACTGTAAATAAAAGTTTCAAATATTAGTATTGAAGAAGTATTTTTATGCTTTATCATTACGAAAGGGAGGAAAACTGGAATTCAAAACCCTAATATCTGATTGCCGCCACTTAGTATTACGGTCCATTTCTCTTCACTTATAAATGAGATGTCTTAGATTTAATTCTCGTCAAACACAATTTTAAACCATATTATTGATAGTTTATTATGAAGCTTAACTCAATTCCTCATTCTTTAACGTAGATAATATCGTTTAAAAATAAAAGAACTTATCTGATTGTGATTGTCATGCTAAATTATTACAACATAAAGTTAGTTCATAAAAGTAGAAAATTGAAAACGTTTTAAATGACAAAAGAAGTAATAATTAATTAAAACTGAGGGAGTAATTGATGATGATGACGGTGAGTGTCCTGGTCTCCACACAACAACAGCTACGCATTAAAACCCGGTCCGTGCCATCGCCGCCACTTTAACAACAACTCCTCATCTTATCCACTTGCATGTAAAGCCAACAGTCCAATTAACAGTGTTTTTTTGAGTCACAAGTTTCATCAAAATAAGTGAATAGAAATGTTCTTCAAACAAAAAAAACTTTAAAAGCAATTTAAAATAATGCATTAAATGTGGCACAAGTATTTTCATCATTTTAACAGTATTTTTTAATAATTAATTTTTAGGAAAACTAATGAAAATGAATTGAAAATTTCAAGTTTTAACGATACGGACAAAATAAAGAGTAAAATGAATAGTACCATGATTGACCTTTTTAGTGTAAAAATATGGTTTTTCATCAAGGTGAACAATATCGCGAGCTTTTCGTTAAAGTTCCTTTTTTTTTTGGTACAGTTTTCTTTATTTATTTATAATTAGTACCTCACAATAGGTTAGTAATAATTAGTTGTTCATTAAATATTATTTTCTCTATTTTTAAACACGTTCAAAACATCTTAAAAGACGTGTAATGTCGGTTATAAAAAAAGTCTTTCGTGAGCGTGTGCATGAATGCTAATTTTTTT